CATGGTTTCCGAATATATTTATATTTGTGTTTAAAATTTACTATCACTATTACTATCTACTATTACTATTACTATCAATTATTAAATAAAAAAAGAAATATAGGCAATTCTGGTCCAGAAAAGGATTTTCTATTATGGCCATCCGTGCAAATTACAAATCCAGAAAATCCCGGGATTATTTGCCATGAATCTCGGGATTTTTGGGACCTTAAAAATATTCGTAATGTATACATACCTCGGACATACAGACTTCGTGTCTTTAGCTTCACCTTTCTACATACATGTATATATTGCTCTTACCCCAGCATGGCTGACAGGATTTGTGATAGGATTTTCCTTTTCTATTATTGGCATTAGGCATGTCCTCTGTGTGTTATGCATTTAAATTGCGCATTTTTCTCAACAATTTGTCTGCTAGCATAGGAGTATGTACGTCTGTGGTATATCAAATGAATTCATATATGTACAGATGTATTGCTGCCTTGTTTTATATACATGTATGTGTGGGTTTATATAGTCGCATATGAATATGCTGGGGAACGTTTGAGTTAGTATGTAGCAGGGTATTTGCTGCCGAATGCACGTATATATAACGTAGGGAAAATTTTTTAATTGCATGTTTGCGCTACACAATACCACTGTTTACAAAAAGGCAAACAAATTTAATATGCTTTATTAGTTGAAAATCTGCTCGGTGAGTTGGGGAAATGGCAGTTACTTTCTTATATTTAAAAGCTATACCATCGCCATTTTCTCAAAAATAATATATATAATATAATTTCTCAATAATTATTATAAAATTTATCTGCGCTTTAAACACAATGGCGCGTATTCATAGTCCAGCCACTAAGTCGAAACTAATAAAGTTGCAACTTAAATTTAAGTATCAACTTAAAATTCACTTCTATTCATAGTCGCATTTCAGACTTCTACTAAGTAAATTTAACTTAGTTTTACGATATTGCAAAACGAGTGTGAAAATGTATCGATTTTTCTTTACGATATATTGGAAATATGACATTTTTATTAAATAATGTCAAGTTTGATCATCCGTTTATGTAATTTTTACTTTCATTGCATGTTTATGCAAAAGAATAAGGTATAAGTTTCTTGTTAATTGTGTGAAATAGCCAAAACTACCGCAATGATGTGAAGTCGATGTTTATCGAAAGCATGCTGTGAAACATACAAACACATATCTAAATGTTATGCACTAATTTGCTTTAAAAGAACAAGCTTGAAATTGACATATTATTTGAGCATTTATATATGTAAATCATTCCAATTATAAAATTGTGATGTAGCCTTATTCGAATTGTAATACGCATTTAATTTCATCTTCCGATTCAAATGGATCGCTCTTTGTAAATTTCAATTGGAGATCATTCAATATTATCAAAAGCACGCTCTGCCAACTTAATTTTTACATATTTCGTCTTTTTTTCTTAATTTAATAAAATACTTCTTCCTAGTTACGACTTAATTGCAGCTGCAGCCGAAACTAAATTTTAAGTTGGTACTTAGCCAGAAAAGTCGAAACAAAGGCGACTATGAATAGCTTTAGTTGTACTTAGGATAGTTTCGACTTAGCTGAGAACTAAATATGACTATGAATATGCGCCAATAGGGTTACATTATACTGCGCCTTATTTGTATATATTATATAGAACATTTTTGTTAAGTAAAAAAAGCAAGACTCAGAATTTTCTATAAGTCAGTGCGCCAAGAACCTAGTATATTAAGCAAGTTATTGAAAGTATTAACCATACCAGCCTCTCCTATAACGTGTTTTAAGCAGTTAAGTAGCAGGTTATCTTTAACCCGATATATGCTTAGAGAGTAATATTTATCCGGTTGCCTAGGTAGCGGGTTACTTTTATGCAGGTAGCCCTGTAGGAGGTTTTATTTATTCGGGTACCCGGGTAGTGGGTTATTTTTATTCGGGTACTCGGATAGGGGTAATCTTGATAATGGGAATGAATCGCACATCCTGCCTGAATAATAGATCAGGAATACCGAAGTTTAAAACTTCTTAAAGCAGTTTTTAACTAGTTTTGATTCGAGAGGCCCAGGTTGCTGCGAGGCTATATGAAAAGATAACTAGAAAACACTATTGAAGGTTTAATTCCTTCCAAACCCTATCGAAGGTTTAATTTAATGCCGGCTAAGATTACTAGCTGAAGATTACTGAAGCGGTTCAGACTGGAGCAGTGTGTGCCATCAGTCTATGGGAATTGCGAGATTGGTACCAGCTCCATAAATACCTGCACCTGCTCTGACCCCCATTCTGTAATGGTCAGCGTGTCAATGTACGTACCTGCATCAAGGACAGGCAGTCCGTTTGTTCAATCCTAGCGATCTGGGATTTGGACTTGGAATTGTCTACCAATGCGGATCTTTTTAGTTAAGGGGTTACACATTATGTTTATTTCCGACCCTGGTATCTTCCCAAGATTACCTGCAAGAAGCCTCTTTATATAGACGCAGACGTTAGAAAGTCCAAATTGCATCGTGACTGCTGTTTTATGGATAAAAATAAGAAGAGGAGTTCTGATTTTACACCTTGTTTTGACGTAGCACAGCAGATTTTTGTTATGTTGATAGTTCTTTGTTGTTTTTTTTTTTAGTTCGCATTGTCCTTTAATCACATCACTTCTGGCCAACGTTCTCTACACAGAGTAGAAAAAAGTGATAAGAAAGCTGCAAAAAAAGAAAAAGAAAAGAGAGATACAACAAAATTTTCAGCACTCCCCAACCCAGATACTGTATGTAACTCCGAATGCCTAAATAGCTTCATTTTTGTGATTTAACAGAATGTGTACATACCTGCCCTGTTGGAAAATAGCTCACAGATGACCTTGTCCGCACCAAAGATTTTGAGGCCGCTTTGAGCAGAAGTCTGGCATTATGACAGACTGGAACCAAAAATATGATATTTTTTAAAGAAATAAGTGTTGAGAATAATAGTTTTAAATGAGATCGAGTCAAGTTTTTACGTGTTTGGAGTTCCCAGCGAAGAAAAAATCATCACTGCCATGCATGCGATTTGCATCAGATATCCGATGGCGTTCCAATTGGGTAATTTTAGGTCTACAATCGCATTAAGTTCGTTTGTGTAGTTAAACGCGAGTGTATGTGTCCTTTTTTTTATTTTTTTCAAAACTTACAGTCCAGTTCGTGGCATTTGTCCAGCTTTAGTTTCACGCACAATGTGGAAAATTTTTCCTTCTACCAATTAACTCTTTTATTTATTTTCTCTTTACCAGCTGATTCGCCTATGATTATTGTCATTTACCCAGCCAGTGGTGTGTACATTTGCGTAAAAGTAATTTTAACCCTTCTCATTAGAGGATTTAATAGGATAAAAGTGTCCACTCTAAAATAAGCGGGGTTATTATGATAGAGGAAATCATGCACATAAACAAATAAACATACATATGTACATGTACACTTTTGTAGGTATGTACACTAGGCATATGACTTTTTATACCCGAGCGCATTCGTGCACAAGGACTTTAAAACTTTTTTCGCATAACGATTGTTAGCCATGTCTATGAGTCCGTCCGTCTGTCCATCTGTCCGTGAACACGTTAACTCAAACATAAATCGAGATATCTCATCGAAATCTGGTATAAAGATGCCCTTCATCGAAGTTAGGTTGGTAATGAAAACTGGCGAAATCGAACGGTAACCACGCCCACCTCCCATAAAGCGGTATTTTCGAAAAATGCCAGAACTACAATATTTCTGTAAATATCAGATCCATGTTGTTGAAAATTGGAAACTGAAAGAGAATTTCGGCATAAAATAAGACAGCTATGAAGTTTTCGGGAAATGGGTTAGGCACCGCTACTTATAAAGAAATGCTGTTTCCCAGTTGCCGCTTAATCAATCCCCACCAAACTCGGTACGCTGAACACGCTATCACACGTTTTGAAGCTCTTTCGGTCTATTCTTTTGATCGATTACGCTTACCAGCATCTTTCTTTGGGTGGTCTCTTACGCCCGTTACTCATCCACCACCCCCTGGAACCG